GCAGTTGATTAAATAGAGGAAACAGCTGTTTGACCTGTGTGGGCACGAGAGGATGGTAAGGACAGTAAAAGAAAAGAAATGGAAGAGCCTGTGGTGTTCATGGGAGGTGGAGAGATACTTTGTCTTTGGTTGTTATGATGAATGGAATGCTGGCAGGAACGCTAGAAAGAGGAGGCACAGTATTTTGAGAAGTATACGTATAGGGACATTAGAATATTATATATCTTAGTGTTTTGCTTTCTGGTTGCAAATGAATATGTACTCTATATCTGAAACCCAGCAAGGAGGTTTCAGCCTTTGTTTATTTGCAATTCCTTAATATCACCTGATATCCAGTCTATGTCTAGACTCCTATGATTATATAAAATGTATCTTTTTACAGATTTTCTTGATTAAAAAATCACTGCATTTGGTTGACAACTAACATAAGTCTCTTTAATTATGCCTCCTCTCCCATTTATTTGAAGAAACTGAGTGACTTGACCTGTAGATTTTTCCATATTCTGGGTTTGGCTGATTGTATCCTTTAGGTGTCATTTAAATTGCTTCTTTGCTTCCTTTATGCCCTTTAAGCTGGTGGTTAGATCTGAAGCTTGATTCTATTCAGCTTTTTTTTTTTAAGGGTTTGGGATAAAAGTACTTACTAGGTTTTGCTGGGTTTCCTGTTGTAGCACATAGGGCATAACCCACCTAGGTGTCCCACTTTTATTAGTCTTCAGTTTGATTCGGATGTCATCGCCTGATCCACACACTGTAATGTTCCCACATCACCAGGCTTTCCTCTAAGGCTTTTTAGCTGCTAGTGATGATGGTGGTGGAGAGCCTTTTTATCAGTAAGGTTGGAAAGTGGTGACATTCTAATTCTGTCATTTCTTTTGCATTTATTAGCTGGAATTTTTCTTTGAAGAAGAACTTGCCCACATTGACTCTGGCTATTCTGGAATATAGTTTTGTTTTATAAAAAATATATTTTTATTGATTTCAGAGAGGAAGGGAGAGGGAGAGAGAGATGGAAACATCAATGATGAAAGAGGATCATTGATCAGCTGCCTGCTGCACACCCCACACTGGGGATCAAGCCCACAACCAGGCATGTGCCCTGACGGGCAATTGAACCGTGACCTCCTGGGTCATAGGTCAATGCTCAACCACTGAGCCACACCGGCCTGGCTGGAATATATTGAGGTAGTTTATACAGGATATACAAATTGGATATGTGCCCAGTTCTTTTGTGCTATTTGCAGGTCTGTAGAATAATGATGTTTTTTAAGGTATTATAAACTCATGAATTTATATATTTGATGTTTTTCACTCTATTTGTACTATGTATGTATTTTTATATCTTAATTATCCCATCTTTGGAGTTCCTTTAAGTTGGCATTTGTATCCCTTTGCCACCTTATTCATCTTTGATAGATTTCTTGCTTATGATCATACTGACATGTTACAGGATCATCTTAAAATTTCTTGCCTAGACTTGGAAATAGCCATTTTTTTCAAGAAGCCCAAGTTGAAAGAGATTTTTGAGAAAATAGGGTTTTTACTTTGGGAAGCTCTTAAAGAACGATACAAGATAGAATGCAGTCATGTAAAATGATAGTGTTCTCACAATGTGTTGGGCGTTATAAATGCTGCAGGAAATACCAGATTCCTGGAACATTTGGGCAGCCATTTTGGAAGAGGTAAGACTGGAGCTAAACTGTCAAATAGAGGCAAAAATGAAAATTCATATGCCCATTGTAGGAGAAATCGTTAGGAGAATTGAAAGAAAATAATGGGTAGCATAGGAAAGAAGCTTGACTAGAACACAAGAGTACCTTGACTTTGATCTTCATTTTGTAAGCACTGGGAAACGAGAGAAAGTTCTTGAGTTTGGAAGTGAACTTGCAAGTCATGCTTTGGAAAGAGTAATATTACAGCAGGGTTAAACAGTTGCATAAAGCAGGGTTCTCAGCTGGAGATTTGCAACATAATCTTTGAGAAATTAAACAACCCGTACCTGGGGCCTATCTCAATACTGTCCAATACCAGGCTGGGGAGTTTAGGCTCATTTGCTTTTTTTTTATTATTACATTTATTGTGGTAACATTGGTAATAACACATAAGTTTCAGGTATGTAACTTTATAATATTACATATGTATGTTCATCACCCAAAGTCTAGTTTCTCTCATCATATCTGTTTCAAAAGACCTTCGTACAATTCTGTTTTACCAACTCTAATTAAAACTAAAAGCTTGCCTGACTGGTGTGGCTTAGTGGTTGAATGTTGACCCAGGAGGTCTGGGTTTGTTTCCTGGTCAGGGCACATGCCTGGGTTGCAGGCTCGATCCTCAGTTGGAGCGTGCAGGGGGAAGCTGGTCAGTGCCTTTCATCATTGATGTTTCTACCCCTCCTTTCTTCTTCTCTCTGGAAACAAACAAACAAACAAAACAAACAAACAAAACAAACAACACACACACACACACACACACACACACACACACACACACACACGAAACCCCTAAAAGCTCAAAGATCAGTTCTGCTATTCCAAGTATGCTAAGCATGAGGTAGTAAGAACATAGATTGGGGAAATGGCAATGGGAATGAGAGAAAGAAAGAGATAGAAAATGCAAATTAGTTTATAAAGTTTTCACATGGCATTTCATTAATAATGTTAACACTAATAAAAGAATTCAAAGAGAGGGGAACAAAGATGACTCTTAAGATTTATGGTATGGGCCAGCTATAAATAGGAAGATTGGCAGAGATTGCTAGTTTGGGGGAGAAAGTAATGGGACAAGTTAAATGTTGAGAAGATGGCCTTGTATCAAAATGTCCTGTCTTTTTCTCACCACTTCATTCATTCTCTCTTGGCAAAGTACTATAGTTAACTTAGATCATGCCAAATTGATTAGGAGGGTTAAAAACTAAGTTGAAAAGTGTGATTACAATAAATATTCAATATATTAAAAAAGAACTATCTGCCTGGCTGGTATGGCTCAGTGGTTGAACATCGACCTATGAAACAGGTGGTTATGGTTTGATTCCTGGTCAAAGCATATGCCTGGGTTGCTGGCTTGACCCGCAGTGTGGTATGTACAGGAGGTAGCTGGTCAATAATTCTCATCATTTTGTTTCTATTTCTCACTCTCCCTTTGTCTCTGAAATCAATAATTTTTTTTTTAAAAGAACTATCTGTTTAATGTAAAATAAAATAGGAAGGGATTGGAAAAGGCACTTCAGCAAATATGAAAAGACCAATATTAATAAATACTGTATTTGGAACAAAAACAAAAGTCAGTAAACCAGGCAAAGTACTTAAACAGACAACTTTTACAAGTGGGAAATTCATTAACTCATTCTTACAACAAACATTTACTTAGTTCTTTCATTGGGTACTGTTCTAAGTGCTAGTGAATAAGATCTGTGAACATTCTGATGGTGGTGTGAGAGAGATGGACAATAGACATGCTTCAAAAAACATGACTTCCAAATAGTAATGATGCTGTTGAGAAAATAAGATAGGTAATTTTTTTAATGCCTTTTTCTTGTGAAAAAGTTTTGCAGTTGTGCAACTGAGGTTAGCATTCCTACTTAGTGATGTGGAGAAAAACTGGTCAGATTTAAATTAAGTTGTGGTTCCCTGCTAATTGCACACAAAAGTATTTTTCTTTTTTCGGTTGGTTTTTCAGTATGTTTATACTAGAGGTCTGGTGCACAAAATTCCTGCACGGGTAGGGGCCCTGGGCCTGGCTGGTGATCAGGGCTGATTGGGCCCTTCCGGCTGCCTGTCAGGGCCTTCCTTTTGGCTGCCAGCCAGCCCTTCCTTCCCCGGTTGCCAGCTGCCGGCTGCCAGCTGGTGCCTTCCTTCATACCGAGCCCCTCCCTGGTGATCAGTGCACGTCATAGCAAGTGATCAAACTCCCGCTGTCCTGGTTGAACTCCCAAGGGGACAATTTGCCCATTAGTCTTTTATATATATAGAAAATTAACAAGATAGAGTACAGATTGAGATTTGGTTTTTCTTGTGGAAACTACTTATATGGATTCTTTTCATATAAGTTTTGTTTTGTTTTGTTGAGAGGGAAACTATTCCTCTGAAAAATGTTCACATTTTTTCCTGTGGCTTCATTCAGTAATAAAATGTAGTGATTTGATTCTGCCATGAGTCAGTGGCATGTCAGAGGATAGAACCTCCGTCTCTTGGAGCCTTCTCTGCTTATTGTACAGGATAGTCGTGAGGGTCAAATGACATACATATTAAAGGGTCCATCTAAGTTAAAGAAAAATCTGAATACATAGAAGTTAAAGGAGTGAGCTGGAACTCTGTCCTTTGCTGTTTTATTATACATCATATAACTGAATGTTTCAAGCTGGAATTAAAGTATACAGAAAGTTCAGTGCATTTCTTTAAAGTAATGTCATTTTTGCAGATGAGAATATACTTGTGTAAGAAAAACAGATTAAGCTAGTTACATGTTATTTTGCAGTTACATTTTTAAAAATTAAATTAAGATTAGGGACTTTTTAGGTATGGTAAAGAGATAATGAAGTGAGTAGGAAAACAAATTTCAGTCTTAATTTTCTTATTGATAATTTACTATTGAGAATATAAGACAGGGAATGGGGTTTTTATTTTTTTTGTTTTTATTTATTTATTTTTTAAAATATATTTTTATTGATTTTTTACAGAGAGGAAGGGAGAGAGATAAAGAGCTAGAAACATCGATGAGAGAGAAACATCGATCAGCTGCCTCCTGCACACCCCCCACCGGGGATGTGCCCGCAACCAACGTACATGCCCCTGACCGGAATCGAACCTGGGACCTTTCAGTCCGCAGACCGACGCTCTACCACTGAGCCAAACCGGTTTCGGCGGAAATGGGGTTTTTAGAAATGGAAACAAAAATAGCCCTAAGATATAAGATATTGAAATAGTAAGTAGCTCATATGCGCAAATTAGCCCAAGCTTTCTTTAATTCTGACTGCCTTCTATGGAACTTTTTTATTTTCAAAGGAAACTTGGACATAACTTCAAAAGAAGATTTGATTCTTTATTTCTGGACTGCAATTATATAACAAGACCATCAGGATGTCGGGAGCCTCAGTGAAGGTGGCTGTGCGAGTGCGGCCTTTCAATTCTCGAGAGACCAGCAAAGAGTCCAAGTGCATCATTCAGATGCAAGGCAACTCGACTAGTAAGTACATGTTGTTTTCTATCAGTTATATTTCACTTTTCTACTCTTCCTCCGTCCCTTCTTGCTGTGATCAGAATACATGAGTATTTGGGTATTACCACTTACCACTCTATACTATACTGTTATTTTAATTTAATAATTGTATTATTATTTATTAATTATTATACTGATTTCTTTTTAAAAAAATCTTTATTGTTGAAAGTATTATAGACTGTATGTTCTCCTTTTTTCCCTACATTGACCCTTCTACTCTGCCCCTGCCTACCAGCCCAGGCTTTTACCACTCTCTCGTCTCTGTCTGTGGGTTATGCATACGTATATGCATACTGGAGGCCTGTTGCACAAAGATTCGTGCAATAGGCTTTTCTTCCCCTGGCTGCTGGCACCAGTTTTCCTCTGGCACTGGGACCCAGGCCTTCGCTCTGGCCGCTGCCTTCAGTCTTCACTCTGATCAGAGCCTTCAGTTTTTGCTGCAGCCGGAGCACCGCTCCTGTAGCTCCCCTGCCCCCCGCCCAACTCCTCCTAGCAGGCATTACATTCCACCCCACCCGGCTGCTTGGTGCCTGCATGCCTGCTGCCCAGAGGCCCAGAGTGGCTGGAGGGCGGGGCCACTGCCATCTTTGTTGGGTTAATTTGCATACTCACTCCTGATTGGTTGTTGGTCATTGTGAAGTGATGGTCAATTTGCATGTCGTTTCTCTTTAGCATAGACAAGTTCTTTGGTTGATCATTATACCCTCCCCAACCCCCCTCTCTTCCCCTGCTTTCCCTCAGAGACTGCAATCTGTTCTATACTTCTGTGTCTCTGGATCTATTTTGTTCATCAGTTTATTTTGTTCGTTAGATTCCACATATGAGTGACTTTAGCATGAAAGACTATCCTATATAATAAAGAGGTAATATGCAAATTGACCATCACTCCAACACACAAGATGGCCGCCCCCATGTGGACACAAGATGGCCAGCAGGGGAGGGCAGTTGTGGGTGATCAGGCCAGCTGGGGAGGGCAGTTGTGGGCGATCAGACCTGCAGGAGGACAGTTGGGGGTGATCAGGCCTGCAGGGGAGGACAGCTGGGGGGGATCCAGGCCAACAGGGGAAGGCAGTTAGGGGTGACCAGGCCAGCAGGGTAGGGCAGTTGGGAGCAACCAGGCCTTCAGGGGATTGCAGTTGGGGGGACCAGTCCTGCAGGGAAGGGCGGTTGGGAGGACTAGGCCTGCAGCAGAGGGCAGTTTGGGGAAACCAGGCCTGCAGGGGAGGACAGTTGGGGGAGAGCAGGATAGCAGGGGAGGACAGTTAGGGGCAATCGGGCCAGCAGGGGAGCAGTTGGAAGCCAGCAGTCCTGGATTGTGAGAGGGATGTCTGACTGGGATTGAGCTTAAATGGGCAGTTGGACATTCCTTAAGGGGTCCCAGATTAGAGAGGGTTCAGGCCGGGCTGAGGCCCCCCCCCATGCACTGGGCCTCTAGTAGAATATAAAAGAACAGTAATCCATTGACTGTCCAGGAGAATAAAATCATTAGAGTATGTGGTAAAATTTCTTTAGTTCTTGGTAGTTATGGGAAATGGTCTGGGTCTGCTTGACTTTCTGACTGCTGTTTTTTTTTAATCAGATGGATTAAAAGCTCATTAAGAGATTATTGATGGCTAATTTTAAAAAAAAGGTCTTAGATCTTATTTTTTAAAGATACATAGCTCTCTTTTTTACCTTATTTTGATTGTATAGAAAACAATGTCAGTTTAGGGTGAAAAAGTAAAATTATCCAAATATGTTATTTACTGTTGATGAAAGATTTCAGATGTTTTCATTTGTGGTAGATAACAAACTAGAGAAGAAAATAAGATTTCTGGTTGACCACTTTTTTAGGATAGGGCCATAAAAATTTAGAATTTGTGAGGCTATGTCTTATGTACCCATTCTTGCTTATAACCTGTAAAAAATCTTTCCAGAACCACTGAAAATATTGATGTCTTTATTTTCCTTTTCTTTTTTTTTTTTTTTTTAATGTATCTTTATTGATTTCAGAGAGAGAGAAAGAAATAGAAACATCAATGTCCTACATTGGGGATCAAGCCCACAACCCGGGCATGTGCCTTGACTGGAGGAATTGAACCCTGGATACTTTAGTCCACAGGCTGATGCTCTATCCACCAAGCCAAACAGGCTAGGGCTTGATATGTCTTTTGATAAAACATTAAAGAAGAAATGCCTGGTTTTTATTATTATTATTTTAAATATTTTTATTGATTTCAGAGAGGAAGGGAGAGGGAGAGAGAGAGAAAGAGAGAGAGAGATAGTAACATCAATGATGAGAGAGAATCATTGATTGGCTGCCTCTTGCATGTCCCCTACAGGGGATCGAACCCACAACCTGGAATCGAACCCAGGACCTTCTATCTGCAAGCTGATGCTCTATCTACTGAGCCAAACCGGCTAGGCTGGTTTTTATTATTAAAAGTAATTAATAATTTGGTTAAAGTAGGTCTGGATATATTGTACTAGTCCTATGTAAACCAGTCTATAGAGGTGCTGAACTACCAATGGTTTTTCCATCATATTTTGTCCAAAACTTTTCTAGACTACCAGGCTGCCCTGCTCTTTCTGTCTTTCCCTTCCTCTTTGATAGTCTACTATAATGAGTGCCTGTAGGGATTACAGAATTGTCTGTACCATAGGACTTTGCCCTCAAGGAGTTTTTAGTTCTAGGTAGGAGAGATAAGATATAATAAAATAACCTTAATACAAAGTAAAGGTGATGAAAGTGATAATTGCCATAAAAAAGGATTTTTAAAAAGTGCAAATGTGAGTTTGGCAAAGGACTAATGTAAGATTCATAGATGATAGGACATTTTAGCTAGACCTTGAGAAATAAATAGAATTGTAAACTAAACATCCAATATGTTTAGGGAAATTTTCAGAATTGCAGCTTATTAGAACTTGTGGTACTCCTCACCTTCATCTGGCTATAGTAGATTGCTTCTTGCATGTAAGTGTTCAGCAGGAGAAATTTGACTTTTAAATTACCCTTAATCTACTGGAACAAATATGCTCTTTCGCTGAATTGGCCTTGGAAAAAGTAGGGCTAGTTTTCTAGCTAAATACTTACTTTGTCATGGCCCAGGGCTTGGAGTAATTGTGGTTCCTTGAAAGGTGATTGTTCTTGGAAAGCTAGTTATCTGTATCAGAATCCTTTTCCTCTAGGATTTTTGGCATTTTTGGTTTTCTACTAACATTTTCTATTTCATCTTTTTTTTTTTAATGTGGCTATTTATTAGTAATTTGACTAATATGTAATCCAGATGCTTTTTAAATGAGAGGTTTTAAGTGAGCCACTTGCTATTTTTAGAAAATATTAATGGCTTTTAAAAAAGGAAACATTGGACTTAAGGTTGGGAGAGAGCATGCATTTTGAACCTAGAATTGTTGAAAAAATGAAATGAATTTGCTATAGCCACATGTGTTCGCTGCATTAAAAGAATTCTATGCTCGCAAGCTGGCCTGAACTGCTGCTTACAGGGATTATAGCTGATTGCAGATGGAATGTCCCTGCCAGAAGATATCTTATGAAAAAGTAGAAGAGGGTGAAGGGTATTTTAGGGAATGTGCCAGATCTGAAAACTGAGTAGCAGCAGTTTTATTTAAGCACTTTTTGGTCTCAGAGGAAATATTTTCCATGGCACAGATAAATGTTACTGCCTTGACATTTTTGAGACCCAAGTGCATACACAAATGGCTTTGTATAATATCCTATTATATTCCAAGTTTCTCCCACTTAGGCAGCATTTTTTATTGTCTAGTTAACGCCTTACCACAGTCGCCTGCTGCATTTTGATGAACTTTAATTGTTTCTATTTGGTTAAATGGTTAGAATTTTAGTATTCTAGTCTTTAAGTCTTTAGATATTTTTTCTCCCATTAGTATTACCTAATTCTCACTTGCATCTTAGTTTGGTTTCTTTTCTTGGGACCTGTGCATAGACTTCTGAGTGTCTGTCAAGATGGTCCCTTGAAATTATATGCAAAACAAAAATAAAAATAAATGTCTTATGTGTTTTCTTTGGGAGGGAGTAATCGCTTCCATTACATTTTTAGAGATCTATGTCCCCCAAAAGGGTTAAGAGGCACTAGCCTTGAATCAGAATGAGATCTCCTTAAGTCTTTTCTGGGATAAGCCAGGGCTAATTATAGTTAGATCAGACTAAGGTGAATTTCATAACATAGCACCCAAAGTGCTTCACAGAGTGGCTGGAGAAGTAGGATAAACCAGCTCTTCATCTACTACTTGTCCACCTCTAACCATGAGCTCTGACTTGCAAGATGGGATGTCTACCTTCTTTTAACCTGTCCTTTGTCGGGATTCATTCTGTGAGCTGTGTATCTCACTCATGCTCAATCATATTTCTCTTTACAGCCTCTACCAAGTAGTGCATTCTTCTGGGAGTCACTACAACCGCTGACGATTTGGGCATTTAAACTCCTAACAGCACCCATTTTTCTTAGAGCAAAACAAACAAACAAAACAACAACAGCAACAACCTATTATCCATCAGCAAGGGACTAGATAAATTAATCTTGTTGTATTTTATTTATTTATTCAGTCTCAATGTGGCTTCTTTCTTACTCCTTAGTTTAAGACTTCTGTTCAGCTAGTCTTCAGAGGGTTCTCCACATTGTTTGTTCTAGATTTTAGTTGCAATTGTTACAACTACAACTGTGGTTCTGGGAGGAGTCGAGCACAGTGTTTACCTACTTTGCCATCTTTTTTTTTTTTTTAAATATATTTTATTGATATTTTACAGAGAGGAGGAAGGGAGAGGGATAGAGAGCTAGAAACGTCGATGAGAGAAACATCGACCAGCTGCCTCTTGCACACCCCCTACCGGGGATGTGCCCACAACCAATGTACATGCCTTTGACCGGAATCGAACCCAGGACCTTTCAGTCCGCAGACCGACGCTCTACCACTGAGCCAAACCGGTTTCGGCTACTTTGCCATCTTAC